GCAGCTGACTTGTCCCAGGGCCCTCAGTCTGGCCCTCCAATGGTCTGAGGGACAGTGAACTGGCCCCCTGTTTAAAAAGTGAGAGGACCCCTGATCATGAGGAAGAGGCGTTCTGCCTGTTTTGCTCACTGCTGAGGCCCCCGTGTCTAGGACAGGGTGGGACCCAGAGTGGGCACCCAGTAAATGTGCATTAAATAGACACTCCCCCAAATTACAGATTCTTGCAAAGTTTTGATGGTTTCCTGCTCAAACCACTTCCTAAAAACAAGGGAAGATTTCAAGAGTCTTCAACTCTACTGAAGTAGCTACAAACACACAGCATAGTTCAGATATGTGCAATCCTCCATCCTTGGAAGACCAGGCTCCACGCAACAGACAGAAAGATGTCCATCTGGTTTCCCGGGGCCAGCCAGAAAATGCCATCTGCAAGACCTTCCTGGTAAGGATGCTGACCAGTCTCCATACTGTGTCAGTTAGAGGTCAACTCCCTGAAGGATTCTGAGCAGCTGTGAAACATTCCAAGTCCTTCTGACTAACTCTTGCTGCAGAAAGGGCCCTTCTTGCTCTGTGACTGTGAATCTGCAAATAATATAGGATCTGGAGAGTTCTTACACCAAGTGGCCAGGACACTGCAATGCAGTGGGTCTGGGCCTCTACTGTGGACACAAAGGTCGCAGCCCCTACCCCAGTCTCAGCCTCAAGTCCCTGCCCTCAAATCCAGCTCTGTGCCCTGGCCACCCTGGCCAGCCTGCTGCTCTGGAAATATGCCCCATGTGCTCTCACAGCTGCCTAGACAGCTTCTCCCTCCTGGCCCTTGCTACACTCCTCCTCACCCTTCCAATCTCTTGTGCCCCCTCTTCAGGGAAGCCACACGCCCTCCCCAAGCCCAGACCCTTTTGCTATGTCACACACACCCTCCTGGAATCCTGCTTCCTTCCTCTGTGGCACTTACCTATATGGCTACTACACCACCTTATCTTGGTGTTTGCTTAATAAGCACCCACACAACAGCAGAAACCACACCTGCCTCTGCTTATTACTCTTCCCGAATGTCATGCACACTGCCTGGCATGTGACTGAAGGTATGACCCCAGAGGGTCAGTGCCATAGACAAGATCTGAACCTAAAGTCCCCGGGAAGGCAGTTTACTGACCCAACAGTTCTATCCTCAGGGGTATATCAGAAAATATATGTGCATATCTTCTCCAAAGACATGTACAAAAATGTTCCTGCCACATTGTTTGTAATAACCCGGAACCAACAACCTATATCCATCAATGATAGAGAATAAATAGCAGTTCATTTCATGGAATAGGACACAGCAGTGAAAACTAACCAAGTATGATTCCTTACTACAATATGAATCTTAAACATAACACTGAGTTTAAAAACAAAGATATAACAGAGTGTGTAATGTATCATTCCAATGTGAAATTAAAAACTATGGTCAGAGAGGTCAAAATTATTAAAGATCTCTGGGGGCAGAATAGTGACTAGAAGGGAGTGATTTGTCCATGGGGTGTTGGTAATACTCTTTCTTGATCCGGGTGTAGTTTTTAGGAATATGCTTACTGTATGCAAATTCACTGAACTGTTTATTCACTTATGATTTCCATGCGTTATTCTTCTGTGTCTTAGTTCCTGCAGGCTGCTATAACAGAAGGCCTTAGCCTGGGTAACTTACAAATAATTGAAAGTCACTTCTCACAGTTTAAGAAGCAAGGAAGCCCAAGATCAAGGTGCCAGCAGATTCTGTGTCTAGTGAGGGTCTGCTTCCTTCTAGATGGTTCCTTCTTTTTTTTTTTTTTCCTTTTTTTTCTTGAGACAGAATCTCACTGTGTCACTCATAGTAGAGTGCTGTGGCGTCACAGCTCACAGCAACCTCAAACTCTTGGGCTTAAGCGATTTTCTTGCCTCAGTCTCCCAAGTAGCTGGGACTTACAGGCACCCGCCACAAAGCCTGGCTATTTGTTGTTGTTGTTGTTGTTGCAGTTGTCATTGTTGTTTGGCAGGCCTGGGCTGGATTCAAACCTGTCAGCTCTGGTGTATGTGGCTGGCACCCTCACTGCTGAGCTACAGGCACCAAGCCTAGATGGTTCCTTCTTGCTGTGTCTTTCCATGATGGAAGGGGCAGACAAGCTCCTTCCAGCCTCTTGTATATGGGCACTAACTCCATTCATGCTTTCATGACATAATCACCTTCCAAAGGCTCCACCTCCTACGGCCATCACCTTGGCGGTCAGGTCTCAATGTATGAATTTGGGGAGGATATAAACATTCAGACTATAGCATTCAATAAAAAGCTTACTGGAGGGGAAAAAAAAGAAAGACGATTCCTCCACTAGATGGTGATGAATCCCAACATGTTGAGGGCTGGAGCACGCCTTCCAATGCTGCAGGGGTGTCTGTGCATTCCCAGGACACTGGGGTGCCTGCAACCACTGTGTCCCTTCCTCTTTCCATCATCAAGGTTGGTTCTTCTTCTTCTTCTAAGATGGGGGTGTAAATATTTAAACTTGCTCTCCCAAGAAATGTCAGATGGAAGCAGGATCACTGTTTAACAACCTAATTTTAAAATGTGTGAAATACGATGCAAAGACAAAACAAGATCCCCTGCTCTATACAGCCGTAAATGTGTTGAAACACACAGGCACAGTGTGACTGGGAAGGGAGGAAGGAGCAAGTAGCGGAATTCAGCACAAACTGGGTATACTTTGTGCAAAAGGCATTGTGGAAAAGCGAGCACGTGACTGAGAATGCAATTTGGGAAGGTGGACTTCGTCTGTTTAACTTTTGGAAAATCTGCGTTTGGATTTTCTTGCTTTCAACTACTTCTTCCCTGGTGCAAAGCTGTGACGACAAAGTCACATTATACATGTTATTTAGGATTTGCAGCAAAAAAACTGGAGCTCCGCCCTCTCTAGGCCTGAAAGTATGTTCTGTGTGAATGCATTTGTGCTCTCTGAGGCTGACAGAGGGTCGGTTTTGCTCCCCAGCCTACTTTATCTGCCATCAAGATGAAGGGTGGAGAAGAACATTTCCTCATAGCCTAAGCTTGGGGTTAAATTCTTAAGTCCTTCACTCTCAGGGTGAGCGCTCTCCAGAGTAGCCCTGGTACCAGCAATCCTGGACAAATACAGTAAACCCCACCTAACAAGTGTGGCTTACACACCTTTTGTACGAGGGGCAGTGTCCCGAGTTCTATGGGTGGTCTCAGATACTTAACTAGAAGGCGTAAAGCCTCGAGGTGACATCCCAGTAGAAGTGTATACTTACACCCTGGAGAGTCGTTTTTATCGAGATAAAAAGTGAATATATGTTTTACCCCCCCAACCCTACTTATAGAAATGTATCCTTCTGATGGACTGAAACACACGTGGGACATGCATATGGGAGAATGCCCACTACGGCACCATCAATAATAGCAAAACATTAGAAACACCTAGATCAGGAGGGGGCTGGGAAGGTAAATTACGGTCACTCATACAACGGGAGACCATTCAATCAAGGCAAAAGCACAGGTAGCAATCTCTTCAGAGATACATTGTTAAAACAAAAGGAAGACAGCTAAACGGTATGCATATGTTCCTTTTTGCTTAAAGAAGATACACAGGCTGAAACACGTTTACAGTAGTGCCCGCTTAAGACTCCCAGGGCATCCCAGACACTGCTCCGTAGTACTGAACCCTACATGTGCTACGTTTTTACTTTCCTTATTAAGTTGAGAACTTTTACCTTTACACTTAAAGGAAGCACGTTGAGGCTTCTCTGGGCAGATCTGCATTGCCAGCATCACTGCTCGGGGGCTATCATTAAGTAAAATACAGGCAGTCCCCAAGTTACAGACATCTGACTAACATCTGATCACAGTTATGAGGCTATTGTAGGCAATAGGTAACTTCCAACCTACATACAAATTCCCTTAAGAACAAACCTACAGAACCTATCTTGTTCATAAGCTGGGGACTGCCTGCAATGGTTCTTTGAACATAGCACTGCGATATCAGGATAGAGCAGTAGACTGAGGAGGTCTAGATTAACTGCACAGACACTCTGGACAGAGGGCTGATTCCAGGACAAGATGGAGCAAAACAATACAGCATTCCATCATTCTACAGGGAAAGGCATGCACTTTAAAACTCGTGAATTGTTTATTTCTAGAATTTTCTGACAGCAGGTAGTTGATCATGGATAACTGAAACCTGAAAACAAGACTATGAATAAGGGGAACGCTGGTATAAAAGTGGAGAATATCTGTGGGAAGAGACCCAGGAAACTTCTCATTTTACAAATGAGAATATATCCACCATTAAGATTAAAATTACCAGCTCAGCACCTGTGGCTCAAGTGGCTAAGGCACCAGCCACATACACCTAAGGTGGCGGGTTCGAATCCAGCCCGGACCCGCCAAACAATGACGACTGCAACCAAAAAATAGCCGGGTGTTTAAAATGGCGGGTGCCTGTGGTCCCAGCTACTTGGGAGGCTGAGGCAGGAGACTCACTTGAGCCCAGGAGTTGGAGTGAGCTGTGAGCTGTGATGCCACAGCACTCTACCCAGGGGGACAGCTTTAGGCTTTATCTAAAAAAAAAAAAAAAAAAAGATTAAAATTACTCATCTTTGTAGGTTGGGATATGGGTATTTTAAGGACCCTCTTGAAATAAGACTATGAGGAAATTTTTATATTGGATCCATGCTAAAATTTCAACATCTTGGTTTATAGAATAAAATGAACTCACCCATGAGACTTCAAGGTAGGCTACTACACGAAATTTAACACAGGTACAAATTCAGTTTTGATGGGAGGAAGAGATTGCATGAAGAGAATAATTTCCAATGACACCTGTATTTCAAAGAATACCCCAAAATTGTATCTGAAAAGCAAAGACTGAGAGCTTACAAATGGGTATGAGCTCCCACAGCCAATTCTTGGGTTCATGTCTATATTGCTATAGCAACATTTGTGAACTAAATTTTCCTTATTCCAGTCCCTCCTCCGTTCCTCTTTCCTCTCTTACAATCTCACCATCCTTTCACTCAACATCTCCAAAGAGTGGATCAGTATCCCAGACAATATCAGTTATTTTCTTTAAGGACATAAATGAAACCTTCTTACCACACACTACAGCATTCTAGAAGCCAAACTAATCGAGAAGAAATATTTTAATTATCATGCTACTTTTCAACGGTTGCTCAAAGTCGAATAATTCAAGACAGAATGGTGACCTTCAGTGAATGATGAAAATTATCTCTTGACAGAAGAATAAGAAGTTGGAGGAGCTGATTTTATCTTGATAAAGAAAGGGAAGAAGTGCACCTAGTCAGTGTGGTTTAACAGGCATCCCCAGGTATAATGAAAAGATAAAGAAAAGGCGTAATTGAAACATCACACCCACACAAGCCGGTCAGCTGAAGTTGTGTGTCAGGATCTGCGAGACCTTGAGGAAGCACCCCCAGAAGGACAAAGCGCATTGCTGGAGATAAAATATGCCCATTACCTTGCTTTATAGGCGATAACCTTTCAAGTCAGAGTGAAAGTAGCTGAGCAAGCAGTTCGTGGCACTCTGCAAAGTCACAGGCATCAGGAAGTCAAAGGCAGCCAGAAAGCGCGAGTCATGCGAGTGTGGGAAATTCATGGCTGGTGCATTTCTCAAGCTAAACTGAAACCTCAGGCAAGATCCCCACGGATCATGAAAGAGGCTTCACCCACGATTTGCCACGACCTTAATCAAGGTGCAGCAACATCAAAGAGCTAGCCTGCCTGGGCAATTCTATTCATAGCAGCCACAAATCACAGCACTTGCCTCTCTGTGTATCTGGAGATCACTTATCCAGAGGCACCATCCTCCAAAATAAACCCATCTGGGTAGGTATTTGGGAGCCACGTCATCGACAATCCTCCCAGCTGTACACCTGGCTCTGTGCTTTGTGGTTTTGCCTCATCGTCCTGCTCAATGGGACACTTCTTAGCCAGGAGTGAGGGATTGAGGGGGAGGGGCACGGATTCTGCCCTAGAAGAAATATCAGGGGTGGAGACAGAGATGGACATAATTGAAACACGATGAACCCACCAACTCTGGAGAAGAAGAGCAGAAAGAGTTCCGAAGGATGACTGCAAGTAAGGAGTCAGGAACGCCACTTTCTGAAAGGGCATCGTTCGTCACGAGCTGCAGGCATCATTTTGGAGCCTTACAAGCTTCCCTCCTGCTGTATCTGTAAGTGGGGACAGTGCTGAGACAGACGCAAGAAGGGAAGGGAGTGAAGAATCTTGGCAGAAGTGGGATGTCCAGGTAGGATCTCGGTACCTATGAGAACTGATTCCATAAGGAAAATATTAAAGAGAATGAAAAGAGCTCATCTGAGCCTGGAGAGTCATCTTGATAATTCTGAGATTGGCCAGTATAGATCCAGCCACACCCTGCTGCCTGGGAAGCTTTCGTGGGGGCTTTCTGGGGTCTGTTATGGGGAACCCAGCAGGTTGGTGATAGTCCCAGTGGTCAGCCTGGTCAGTGGTCTCCAGTGAGGTTCTGAGACTTCTAGACTCGGAAATCCAAGTCCTCATCCTTGTCACGGTCTTAGTCTTCTCAGAGTGGAAAAAAGAGAGGAAATTTCCCTGCAGAATTTCTGCCCCAAAATCCAACAATAGGGTGTCAGTGGGCAGCAAGGACAGACTTTACGAGCCAGTGACTTCTAGTCAGCCTAGAGGGCCCCTGAAACCCAGGAAGAAAAAACTAGAGTTTGGGAAAGGAAAGAAATTTCAGAAATGATTTCAGAATTTATCAAAGAAGAACCTCAATTGCTGGGGACAGAGGAATAAATGGAATATGTCCTCAAAAACCTGGGTTTGCCTTTGTCAGAGTCAGGGTGGGTGGGCAAGTGAGATTATCTGATGAGGAAATGAAACTTTCCCCAAATTCTTGAAAGAAATCTGAGAGACGAGGGAACGAAATGCCTGTCTTTATAAGAATTCATGCTTGTAGGAAAGAGCACGGAGCAATCTGGGAAGAACTATGACTAAAACCATGCATCAGGCAAAGAAAGTCAACACCGACCTCAGACAAAAACTGCAGGGCAGAGCAGAGGACGAATAGGAGAAAGTGAAGACAAGAGTTGCTGAAAATATAAGTTGACCAGATTGCAATATAGAAATGCTGAAAGCTGCTTTGTATAAAAAATACCCTGGAAAGAGTAAAAGCCGGGAGTAGGAAAGTCAGAGTCAGAAGCATAGCATGATTATTCATTCAGTGCAGAAGCAGCAGGATAGGGGAGAAGTTACAGAATAGGTGCGAAAATGGAGCAGCCGGAAACGGCTGTAGACACGATGTAAGTGTGTGCATGGGACTGAGAGGAACCTAATGCCAAGCGCCAAGGCTGTGAATGCTAAAAGACCAGATTTATTTATTTATTTATTTATTTTTTTTGAGACAGAGCCTCAAGCTGTCCCCCTGGGCAGAGTGCCGTGGCATTACAGCTCACAGCAACCTCCAACTCCTGGGCTCAAGCGAGTCTCCTGTCTCAGCCTCCCAAGTAGCTGGGACTACAGGTGCCCACCACAACGCCTGGCCATTTTTTGGTTGCAGCCGTCATTGTTGTTTGGCGGGCCCGGGCTGGGGATTCGAACCCGCCACCTTAGGTGTACGTGGCTGGCGCCTTAGCCGCTTGAGCCACAGGCGCCGAGCCAAAGACCAGATTTATACCTCAAAGTTTACAACGATGCAAAACAATGACATTTTGCTGAAGAGAACAATCTCAAATGTGGAACTAAAGAAAATTCCTGCAGAAGCCCAAACCCTGAATTAGACAAAGAAATGTCGCTAAATGTCTTGGAAGCCATTCGAACACAAGAATTTTAATTTCCATTAGCAAATTCTCTGAAAAATTTAAAGTGAGCTAGCCTAGGTAACCAAACCAGGGGTGGGGACATACTCCGTACAAATTCAGGATAGGACAGCTGCTGAAAAATTGTCTTTTTTTTTTTTTTTTTGAGATAGAGTCTCACTATGTCACCCTCAGTAGAGTGCCGTGGTGTCACAGTTCAAGCAACTTCCAACTCTTGGGCTTAAGCCCTTCTCCCAAGTAGCTGGGACTACAGGGGCCTGCCACAATGTCCGGCTATTTTTTTGTTGCAGTTGTCATTGTTGTTTGGGGGTCCTGGGGCAGATTCGAACTCATCGACACTAGTATCTGTGGCTGGTGCCCTAACTGCTGAGCTACAGGTGCCGAGCCTGAAAAATCGTCTTAATAATCAAGATAAGGTGGCAGCACATGTTGAAAATGATAGAATTGTAACCAAAGCAGATTTATAAATTTAGGTAAAAGAGGTAGGTTCCTGGATTTTTCAGAAAGAAATAGGATATGGCAGAACCAGTCTGTGACCTAGAGTACAGGTGTGAGATTCTGCCGACAGTCCGAATATGATTTCAGTGGCTGCCTTCCCTCAGACCAGACTGCTTACCAAAGAAGCAAATGAGATACCCACCCATGGGATGTGCCAGGGTCCTGCCCCAGGGGGGGAAAGGCCTGTTAAAGACCTGTGGATCTGGCAGTGACCGACTGAAGAAATATAAAGTTAGAAACAGTGAGAAAGAAAGAGACAAGACACACAGAATAAAATCTTCAAAGGTGGGAGCCCAGGGGACCACCACCCGCTTGTGGGGTTCTGGTGGTGGCCCCAAGTGTCAGTTCCACTCAGCTTTTATTGAAGCCTATTTGCTTATTAGCCCAAAGGGTAATCTGAGGAAGGGAGAAAAGATGCCAGCAGTTTCCCTGAGTGAGCATATCAGCTCTTATTGTTTCTGTAATCATGAACTTTAACAGTCTGAGAAATCCCTAGCCTGAGCCTTGTGTGGGGGCAGCCTCCTGTCTGAGGTCACACACACAGATTCCTAGGGAGGTGTTCAACTCTGCTAGCTCACTGTGGAGTAAAACATCACTGACCTCAATCTCCTCTGGAGAATCAGTGGGAGAGAGGAACGTTCCTCTGATCACCACCCCAGAGAGTCTTCCTCTGCCATAAGGGATATAAGCCCTCCTACCCATATTTCAGGGTTCAAGCTGTTCTCTTGATCTCTGCCCCAGCCAAATACAAATATTCACAACAAATATTTGCTTTGTCTATTTACTGGGCAGGAGAGAACTTTGGGAGCAACCAATTCTATAGACTACAGGGTGGCCCAGAAGTTGCCAGACATAGGGAAAATGGGAAATTGCAGTTACATGTACCTTTATTTGCAGAATTTTACAAAAAGGGGGCTATCACATAGAGAATATTTTTTAAATTTTGCAAAGTAATTATCTCGTGGTTATTAAAAAGGATTAATGATTTTGCTACGAGTTGCCTTCTTTATATTCAAGCTACTTTCTCATTCTGAATTTCTTAAACAGTTATCAAAATGCTTGAAGAAGTCATTGCTGGCTTTGCTGCAGCAGTTTTAATAACAATGAGTGAATATTACAGTTAGTCTGACTGTTCTATACTGGCTAACAGCACTGTTAACCTGTCCCCAACCCGCTTTATCTCACACGGTTCTGACGAGTCCTGTTGGGCACCCTCAACTGGGTATTGAGGGACTGGATGTAAACCCAGCTCCTGGACTAGCTAAAGTCTGTGCCCACAAACAGAGCAGCATCGCTCGGGGAGGCTGAAGAAAGAGGTGGAAAGATCCCAAGGGATGGCCTACAGTCAATCCGGACACTTGTCATAGGAGGCTTGCTAAATTGCCATCAGCTGCCTCACCTATAAAACTGGGATAATGACACCTGTCTCCCCGCCTCACTGGGTTTTTGTGAGACTGACAGGTTTAAAGAACCACATGAACAAGAGGCATTATTATTTACCAAGACACACCAAGTAAGCAAGATGAGTGACACTCCCAAAGCCACAGACGTAATTAAAGAGAAGAGAGAGGAAAAAAGGAAAGAAAATTTAAGCCACTACACCTTGACCCTGGGGCATAACGATGAGCACTAAGAGGCCAGGCCTGGTGGCTCACACCTGTAATCCTAACATTCAGGGAGCCTAAGGCAGGTGGCTCGCTTGAGCTCAGGAGTTTGAGACCAGCCTGAGCAAGAGCAAGACCCAGTCTTTACTAAATAGAAGAAAAACTAGCCCAGCATTGCAGCAGGCACCTGCAGTCCTAGATGCTTGGGAGGCTGAGGCAGGAAGGTTAGAGAATTACTTCAGCCCAAGAGTTTGAGGCTGCTGTGAGCTATGATGGCTGGCACTCTATGCAGGGTGTCAGAGTGAGACTCTGTAAATAAATAAAATTAGCACTATACCAGCAATTCACTGAAGTCCACCATACAGCAGGTAGTGTCTAAAGTACTGTCCCTGTCTAGTAAAGAACTAGCTTTACCCACAAAGAAGTCTGGCTTTTGCCCTCCCTCAGGTTCTGAGAGGTGGTCTGTAAGCCCCTGGTTTGTCCTGCCTGACAAGAGTGGAGGCCCTGAGCCAGCCAGGTAGTCTAACAATGTGATTTATGTGGGGGTCCTGGGCCATGCGCCATCAGCCATGTCCACACCAGTGAAAACTCAGGACTCTGAGGTTCAGGGGAGCTGCAATGCTGTTCATGTGTACTGACACGTATTACTGTCGGAAGTTAGTCCTTGCACAGTTCCACTGGGAGAGGACGATTGAAAGTTCCATAAGTACAACTTTCCTGGACTCTGCTCTGTGCAGAGTGTGCTCTGGGCTTATTTTAATTTGTGGCCTTTTGCTGAAATCAATCACAACTGTAACTATAACAGCTTTCAGTAAGTTCCATAAGCCTTTCTAAAAAGTTACCCCACCTGAATGTAGTCTTGGAGATCTCCAAACTTATAATTAGTGTCAGAAGTAAGGATGGTCTCAGGGACCCCTAAGCTTTGTAATCCTCTGCAATGTCATTCGATCCTCAGATAAATCCAAAGAAGAAGGTGCTGGTCCCACCTCACAGACCAAGAGACTGAATATGTGCACAGGATCCCACTTGTCCATGACCCCACACTCGGCTGATGGAGGAACGGGGGCTCATCAGCATGCTGCATGCCGGCAACACTCTCACGAGGACACACAGTGGTCCTGTCTCCATCTCTGTGCTGAGTGGCAGACAAGTTAAATAGAGAGCCTCGTGCAATGCTGATGCCCTGAATGATGGCCCATGCCAGGAGAGAAAGGGAGACCTGAGAACGTGCTTTAGTAGGGGAAAAAATATGATGCCGTAGAGATGCTGAGTGAGATCGTGACCTTACCATCTCCAACTCTGAGACGGGCCATCTCGGACAGAGACACCCCCACAGCCCTGAAATCCAAACCTCAGCCCTTTCATGGCCACAGCCAAGCCAGCCATCAGGAGCAAGAGGTCAGACGGGCGTGATGCAATGTGTACCGGGACAGGACATTCCACGGACAGGGAGAGCCTGGCCCAGCGGCTACGTCAGAGGGGCAGTAGGGGGCGGGGAGATGGAGCAGCCAGCAGCACATCTGCCCCCAGGATGGGGATGGGGTGCATGTCCCCAGCATCACCACCTGCCAGGATGAGTGGGGGCAGAAAGGAGGCTGCACACGCAGCAGATTCCACCCCCGCACGGAGACCAAGCTGTGGTTGTCAATCCTGCTCCTGTCTCAGGGAACCTGGCGTGACCAATGTCTTCGCCTTCCTACACACACGCCACCCCAGCTATGTGCCATAAAATTAGTTTTACAAGAGCAGCAGATTTAACGCTGCCCCTTCAAAGCTCTGAGGGCTCAGCAGCCCCCCAAAATACACAGCCAATAAGATGTCAGGCCCCAAATCCAGACTTATGTGCTTTGTTTGCATTTTGTCTAAAGTCTGCTCCTCTGCAGTTGTTTTCCATTTTATCTTCTAGTAATCATGTACACAAGAGCAGAAGAAAACTCTGGCCAATCAGACCCCCTTGCTTTTGCTTTATCCTTAGAGTTCACATATCTAGATACCACGTAGGTATAAGGGACATTCAGCAGATGAGTTTTTAAGGAGAAAGATTTTCAACATAGAAATAATTAGAAAACATGGAATTCTTAATAATAATGTAAATTAAGTAATGTGTAAATTAAGTAATAATGTTAATTAAGTAATTAAGTAATTCAGTAATGTGAATTAATCTGGTCTTAAAAAATACCCTTCAGAAGATAAACTTTGAAACAGGTATTATTAACTTGTCCACAGATGGTTTCAGGATGTCCATAAAAACAGGAAATTGTAATGGTTTGCAAAATCACTCAAGCGTGCACTCCAGAGTAATTTTTCTGAGGTGAAAGTCCAAAGCTTTCATCAGCTCCTGAAAGGGATCTCCAACCCCAAGATGTTAGCGCGACCAGCACATTCACGTCTGGCGCTCATTTACGCCAAGGCATCCTGTCAATTAAATAAAGTTAGAATGATTTTCCTGTAGTGCAGAGGGGAAAGGCCTTTGATTACCCAAGTTCAGAGTGGTGTGTCCCTTTCTGGACAGTGTCACAGTGCACCTTGCAGAAACTTATTCAAAAACTTTAATCTTCTTGAGACAAAGATTGGGCCTCACCCCTGAAGACCCAGCACATACTCAGCATGTGATCAGAGTCCAAGGGGTCAAGTTGCCAGGGAGGACGTCACAGACCAGAGCCAAGGCTGCCATGCACCCCCTTAGTGAGCCTGGTACACTCACAGCAGGTGCCTGATAAATGCTTTTTGGTGACAACAGTAATCCTGTCTTCCTTATTTGTTGTTCTGACTCCTCAGATAACTCACGGACAGCAAAAACTTCTGCCTTGGCTGCAAAGAACAAATGTGCCCTCTCTATGCCCTGAAGTGCTAGGCCTCTATCAGAGTGACACTGTGACCCCACACACCGGGGGCTGCAGGGACATACTGTACCTCTCAAGCTAGCTATTTGGCAGGAGGAGCTGCAGATTCACTGGAGGGATGCTGGGCAGTAGGAACAATGGACCCCTTCTCTCCACTCACAACTCAAACATGATTCAGTGAGTCAATGATCCCTCCTGTGCTTCCAGAAACAGAATCAAGAAAACCCTGTTTGCAAAAAGGTGGAACAACTGGAACCCTCGTTCATCATTGGTCGCACTGGAAAATGGTGTGGCCGCTTTGCAAAACAGCCTGCTGTTCCTCCAAATGTTAAACACACGGTTACCACATGACCCGACAGTACCACTCCTGGGTGGCGTCTACCTAAGAGAACTAAAAACGTGTCCACATGGAAACTTGCCCATGAATGTTCATAACAGAACTACTTATGATAGCCCCAAAGAGGAAATAACCTAAATGCCTGTCAACCATTAAAGGGATATACAAAATGTGGTCTGTCCAAACAACGGAATATTATTCAGCCAGAAAAAATGAAATGAAGTACTGGTAGAAGCTACAACATGGATAAACCTTACAAACATTACGTTAAGTAAAAGAGCCATCATAAAAGGCCACATACAGGGCAGCTCCTGTGGCTCAGTGGGTAGGGCACTGGCCCCATATACCAAGGGTGGGGGGTTCAAACCCAGCCCAGCCAAACTGCAACAAAAAAATAGCCAGGCGTTATCCCAGCTACTCAGGAGGCTGAGGCAAGAGAATCACCTGAGCCTAAGAGCTGGAGGTTGCTGTGAGCTGTAATATCACGGCATTCTACTGAGGGTGACAAAGTGAGACTCTGTCTCTTAAAAATAAAAATAAAACAAGTAAAAGGCCGCATGCAGCATTATTCCATGTATATGAAATGTCCAGATCAGGCAAATCCATAGAGACAGAAAGTAGATTAGTGGTTACCAGGGAATGGAGGGTGGGGAATGACTGCCAATGATATGCAGTTTATTTGGGGGTATAAAAATGTTCCAGAATTAGCTCATACTGATGGACAGACAGCTCTATGTATATATAAAAACCATTGACTTGTATATTTTTATAGGGTGATTTTAATGATATATTACTTATATCTCAATAAAGCTATTATTTTAAAAATGTACTCATCTCCCCTACCTTCTAGAGCTGCTGGGAAGATTTTGTGGGCCAGTAGTACATGCCCCGGCCCTGGGGCTCCTCTGCCAATAGTACCAGAGGTATAATTAGTATCCTCTAAGCACAAATGCAAGGATGCAAACGCTGATAATAATGAATGATTCCAGAGCCTGATCTGGGATTGGGGTGGTGGGAAATAAAGATTTTAGCTTTGTATGCAACGTTTTAACATTTTAAAGGAGAATGCATTCACATATTATTTATGTAATTAAAATTCTATTTTTATTTTAGGGCAGTGAAGCTAATCCATGTGATAATATAATGGTGGATCCACGTCATTACACATTTGTCCAAGCCCATAGAATGATTCCTACTGTAAACTCCAGACTCTGTGTGATCACAGTTTATCATTGTAGGTTAGTTCATCAGTAGTAACAAGTGCACCACTCTGCTGGGGGTGTTGGTAATGGGGGAGGTTGTATGTGGGAGGGGCACAGAGTATAGGGAAAATCTCTGTACTATCCTCTTAATTTTGTTGTGAACCTAAAACTGCTTTAAAAAAAAAAAAAAAAGCAAGTGGCACCTGTGGCTCAAAGGAGTAGGGCACTGGCCCCGTATGTCGGAGGTGGCGGGTTCAAACCCAACCCCAGCAAAAACTGCAAAAAAAAAAAAATCTATTTTTAAAATGTCTGCTATTATTCTGGAAGTACAATTTCCTGTTGATCATTTCAAATAGTCTTGCCTAACAACCATAATTAAACACTGGTAGCAACTAAAAGCCAGGAATTCTATATAGAAAAAACAGTGCCATCAAGAGCAACAGTCACGGGCAGCACCTGTGGCTCAAGGACTAGGGCATCAGCCCCACATACCAAGGGAAGTGGGTTCAAACCCTGCCCTGGCCCAAAACTGCAAAAATAAATAAATAAATAAAAGTTTCAAAACACATAGCTTCATTTTAAAAGAAGAAAAAGAGAAACAATCATTTCTAACAATTAATTTAATTGCTCTAAACCAGTGGTTCTCAACCTGTGGGTCATGACCCCTTTGTAACAATGAAAATACATCCTGCATATCAGATATTTACATTACGATTCATAACAGTAGCAAAATTACAGTTATGAAGCAGCAATGAAAATAATTTTATGGTTGGGGGTCACCACAACATGAAGAACTATATTAAAGGGTCGTGGCATTAGGAGGCATTAGGAAGGTTGAGAACCACTGCTCTAAACTATAACATTCCCCCTCCCAATTAATCAAAAGCAGAGAAAAGATAGTGGTCAGAGAAGGGGACAGGGGCAGGTGCCTAAGGAGGGAGCCTTCTCCTCCTCACCTTAGAGAGGAGATAAGGTTTTGGGGTCCCCCCTCCATTTGCTTCATTCCAACATCAGAGGGCTTAGGAATGAGTCTCCCCAGAGACGGCTCTGGGCTGTAGGTGAAGGGGGAAGCTCTGCAATTAATGGCTTTAATCTGCTTATCACACCTATTTTTAGGCCTTCATTTTTATAGCCTGGTGAAATGAGAAGGTGCAGAGAGATCTGAATACCCGGCTACATTAAGATGTCCCACGAGAAGTAGGGAGATGCTTTCACAAGCAAAACTAGAGCTGGAAACCACAGGTTGTTTTTGAAGATGACACCAATTAGGGAGGCTGCAGAAGAGCTTGCTGATTTGCCCTTTGGTCATGTGAAAAGGAATGGTCTGTGCAGCGGTGATTTACTGCTGGGGTGACTGTCTAGACAGCCCCAAACACTGACAGACACACACACACTCAGACCTGTCTGCAGCAGAACTCACCTGGGCCCACAGGAAACAGCATTAATGAGAGCAAACATTCAGAATGCCCGCTTGGGTCTAACAGCAGGCACAGCCCTCATCAGAACCAGTCCAGGTTTGAGGTTTCCATATTCATTCAACAAACAGGCAGGAGACTTCTAAACATTGGACATCATTCTAGGGCAGTGTTTTTCAATGTTTTTTTATCTCATGGCACACTTGAACCTATAAACTTCATAGCACACTTATGTTGATCAAAAAGAGTTAAAAAGGAGTGGTGCCTGTGGCTCAAGGAGTAGGGCGCCAGCCCCATATACCAGAGGTGGCAGGTTCAAACCCGGCCCTGGCCAAAAGTTGCAAAATAAAAAAAATAATAAATCTAATAAAAAAAGAGAGTTAAAAGAATGAATATACTTACCTTGCTTTGAATTTGTTTTGAAAATAATTTCATTAATGAGCTTTAAAAATTTTCTCAATAAACCGGTTGAAAATCACTGCTCTAGGGGCTGGAGAGTCAATCAGCAGGGAACAATTACGTGTCAGTAGAGAAGACAGAAAAATATATAAATATATGTACAACGTGCCAGGCAATGGTAAGCACTAAGAGGGAGATGGAAGAAAAGAAGAGGACCAAGAGGACAGCGTGGAGGGGGTGAGGGCACCAGGAAGGCCAGGGACAGCATCGCGGTCAGCCCACTGAGCAGTGTCTGCATGAATAAGGCAGTGAGCGCTGCAGACAACAGGGGGCAAAGGTCATGGGATACCCAAGGAAGAGCATGGTGCCCAGAGGGATGAGTGTCAGGGAGAGACCACCACCAAGGTGAAGGCCATGGAGGGCCTCCCAGGCTACAGATTCTATTCTGATAATGTTGGGGGGTCTGGAAGGTTTTGAGTGGAGGGGAATGACCGTACTTGCGTAAGAGTTGTTGTAAGAGTCGCTCTGCCTGCTAGGGGAGTGCAGGCTGTAAGAGAAGGCGGAGGGCAGCCCAGGGATCCAGGTGAAAAGCCATGTATCCTGGCCCTAGTGGGAGCAGGGGAGGCATTGAGAAGTGGTGAGATTCTGACTGTGTCTGAAAGTAGAGCCGAGAGGATCTCCTGGTGGATTGAAAGTGGGGAGAAAGACATAAAGAGGATGACCAGGATGATGCCCAGGTTGCCAGGTTTTACTCCCATGGCTGTGCTGCAAAATGTGGACTAGACATGTGAGAAGTGTCGCTTTCCAGGAGAGAGAAAATGTGGTGTGAGGTCCTGAGTGCTTCCAGGAAGCAGCTGGTCACCTGCTGTCAGTGTTTGGGTCTGTCCAGGCATAGTGACACAGCAGGTGGACATAGGATTATGGACATGGATCCGTTCAGCATAGTGACACAGGGTAGACACAGGATTCCAAGACGTTGTGCCAAACTCTTTGGCAACAAAGAAACAGCCCTGAGAACGCCATGTGAACAAAGGTGGTTGTCCACTCAATAAACGGAAAGGTGAGGGAGGGACACTTCAACACCAGAATTCACTATTGAAACCTATCTCTCAGTGTGCTGGTGTTAGGAGGTGCAGCCTTTGGGAAGTGATATGTTCATAGGGACAGAGCCCTATGAATGGTATTAGGGCCCTTGGAAAAGAGACTGCCCCAGAGAGCTCCTTCACCCCTCCCGTCATGTGAGGACATGGCTAGAAAGAGCTTCTGTGAACCAGAAAGCAGGCTGTTACCAGCCATCAAACCAGCTGGTGCCTTGACCCTGGACGCTCCAGCCTCCAGAACTGTGAGAAATAAGGTTTGTCGTGTAAGCTGCCCAGTCTACAGTATTTCTCTTATAACAGTCCAAACAGAGTAAGACCCAGTGGGGAGAGAGAGGTAGGACCTTTTATATATATTATCTCATTGAATCTTCAAGAGGTACATACTATGATCCTCATTCACAAACTAACAAGAAGGCGATGGTGCTGGGTGAAATATCAAACTTCAAATAAATAAATAAATACAGGAGAAATTCTTGGTAATGTGGGATAAGAAAGGCCTTCCCAAGAAAAACATGAAACTCAGAAGCCAGAAAGAGAAAGACTGACAGATTTGAATTCATAAATGTTGAAAATGTCTACCTGATCAAAGAGAAACAAAAACAAAAGCTAAAACTACACAAACACACACACACACACACGTGAGATAAAAATAAAAACTAAATAAAAGCCATTTATAACACACTAAAAGCAATATTTATAACATCGACAGCATGGCTTTGAGATCTTAAAGAATTTATTCACGTCAATAAGAAAAACAAACGACCACATTTGTAACAAGCAACAACTGTGAATATTAGTTGACAGAGAGGGAAAGACGAGACGGAGACAGCAGTGGGCAGTCCCACCCTTGCCACGGTTCAGAGGGTTATGCAGGGACCACTGGCCTCAAGTGTGTCATTTGGAGGATTAGTTTAATTAAAGTACGCTCACCTTCAGTGTCACTAAGAATTTAGGAAAACACACATTCTCCTACTCTGCCAGTGGGAGTATCATATCAGTACAGCCTACCTGGAACACCATTTGACAGAATCTACCAGAATGTTTCCTGTATATG